TTTATGGCACTTCTGGAACCATAGAGGATGAATATGAGTAGTCTATTCATACATACCCCGAATACCAAGGAACCATGTCCAGAAATTCAGGCTTCATCTGTTTCTTCTTCAACTTGTCATATTCTTTGTGCGAAAGAGGATGAGAAAGAGCCCAACTGTGAAGCAAGAAACATAGAAGAGCACACATAATTCAAAGTAGTTATATGAGGGACATATTGGCGATGGAGAGCATAATCTTGTACAATTTTGCATTTATCATTCAAGAACTCTATATTATAAGTAACATATATCCTAAGGGTCTGATACTCTGATTGCATTCCCAAAAATAATACTACCTCCGTCCCAATTTGATGGTACCATTTCTCTCTCCATTGGTCAACACAAATCACTCTTAATCTCTTACTTTATGTATTAAATTTTGATCAAATTTAATCCAGGTGTTTGCAACTTTGTATAGTTTTTAATGTAGTTTTTGAATATGTAATTTTTTTTTCTAAAAATAATTTGAGTGCGGACAGGGATCCATTTGCTTTATCGTCAGTCAAACTTCGTAAACCGCAATGGTATCATCAAATTGGGACGGAGGTAGTACTAGGGAAAAAAAATATGATGAAAAGCATAGAGAAAAATAAAAGGAAAGATAATGTGGGGAAAATTAAAGATAGGCTAAAACTCAATGAATTTATTTTAGATCTTTGTTGATACTCATTTTTATTATTTATGCTTGTCACGTTAAAATCAAACATATCTAAGTATATGCATACAAAATTAAAAACTAATCCTATTTCGTTGTCCTTGCATTTCCCAAGGGAAAATCAAACACGTGAAAGTAACATCTTCTTGGCATTAGTTCCCTTTCGCTATCAGTTTTCCCTGATTCAAACATACTTAGGCTTGTTTGGTTTGGGGACTCAGAGGGGAGGACAGGGGAGGATCAATATTTACTTTTTAAATTATATCTATATTTAGATGATTGAAAATAAAAAAGAAGATAAAAAAGTATATAAAATACATTATCAGTTACTCATATACTTATTTCTAGTCTAAATCTAACAAATAGATATAAAATTGTAAAATTGAATAAAAAGTCTAAGGAGACATTTTTGTGTACACTATTAGTGTACATTCCAAAAATGGCATGCATTTATGGGATGATTAAAAGTTATCCATCTTTTTATGATCCAATAAATACATGCCATGTTAGACTGTACACAAAAGGCCTTCCTAGACTCACTCAAATAAAATCAAGCATCACCTCAGTCCTCTCCTTCCCTCTGAATTATCTGCACCAAACAAGCTTTAAGTAAACAAAAAGACTAACTTAGGAGGATTCACATAATCCAGATATGGGAAAATTTCTTCTAGGAAATGTTTCCGATTCTGATAAGACTTCAATGGCATGCCAGCTTGCCAACCAATGCAAAGACAATTTCCCCAGTTGATTTGTCAAAAAGAGAAAGAAGGCGCTTAGTTTACTTACCCTGATGATCTTTCCACAACATAATTGGCAATGTAAAGACCGATAAAAGTAGCCCACAAAGAATATATTGGAGAGATTTCATCTGATGATTCTGCACATGCACCACCACAGCTCAACTGGAAATATTATAAAACAAAACGAAAAAAGGTCTATCAATATAATAGTTCCTTGATTTCATGAAAAGTAAGAGAACCTAACTAATGATCCATATGAGGGCATACCTCTCCATATATGACCCACTTTGATAAAAATGGATAGTCACTGGCAGATCCAACTGGTGCAAACCAAGATTTACAAACCTGTTCTTTGAACTCGCTCACACGAACAAATTTTGCAAGCCATGTATTTCTCTCCCCCTTCCGCCAGAGAGAAAACCAAAGAGAATCTCTACGGTCAAATGTTTTTTCCCGCACAATTGCAAGGTTGCCACAGTGGCTATAAAATACACAGCATGCTATACTTAAAACCTACACAGGGGACAAAGAAGCCATAAATTGAGAATCATGTGCAATTTGCAATTATTTATTAGACTATGTTTGGGAGTTGGGTTTTGGACAGTATTGAAAGGGAGGGGTTATTTTTCATTTTTAAGGCTTTAAGAAAATATTACTTTAACTAGATAATTTTAATCTGAAAGAGAAAAGAAATAAGAGATCAGTAACAATTCAACATTGAAGTCATTTATTCATTACCATAACTATATAAAATTCTATTAATTCAAAAATAAAAAATAACCCTTCCCCTCCCTTCACATCCACCCCTCTCCAAAACCCAACTCCAAACATAGCCTTGAGAGATGATCAGAGAGCTCACAGCACAGTTTTGAATTATGGCAAGGATTTCAGGCCTTCTTTTAGCCACACGAGCCACAAGGCCAAGATGCCAAAGCCCAATAAAAATGAGATGGAAAACAAGCAGAAAGGAGATAGACGAGACATATATTGTCAAAAACAAAGAGAGATTCATCCTTAGATCAACTCCCATTGATTGAAAACTGGGAAGATGATAAAGAGCTGCAACTAATATCCAGACTATATACCTGCAACCATTTAGTAAGGAAACTCAAATTTAGAGATTCTTTTTTAACACTTAATTAAACAGAGAAGTTAAAATCAGAAACATAGTAGGGCAGTTCTGATAGCATACCAGCGGCTGAAATTTGAATAACTTGGCCTAATTGTTTTCCCAAGAAATGGAGATGAAAAGAAGTAAAAGAATCCTAGCAAACAGGCATAAATAGACCACCATTTGATGTTGGTGTCTAACTTCTGGATAAGGGTGTGGATATTATCAGATGATATGAAAAACAGGCAACCCACAACCACAGCAATGAAAAGATGTCGTGAGTGTTCGTGTGGATATGGATATGGATGGGCTAATATCGTCCTGACTGTTTCCATATTAAGGGTATCTAGTAACCCAACTGACTGCTTATCACTCCCCATTATGCAGCTAGTCCTCTGATTACTCCACAAGCAGCCACTGCACATTGATCATCAACTCAAATCAAGTTGATATAATTCAAATTGCTAAAAAAAAAATGAATTCAATCCATTAGCTAGTTTGCCTTAATTCTTTATGAGCTCATAAACACTTCTTTAATATTTCTACCAAACATAAGACTAAGAAAATGCCCTTTGTGTCAGTATTAAGAATTTCCCTAACACACTTAGAGAGTAGTAGAGCTTACAACATCCCAATTAATTATTCAAAAACTCATATTAAAAAACTAAAGATAGATGAGTACTCTGCTTTCCCCACAGAAAACCCATCCTAGCTTAACAACAACAAACAAACACAAAAACCAAGATTTGATTTTAAAATAGTAAAGAAACAATAGAATCTGCAGATAATAACTACAAGAGCAAATTTAAGAAGGTTGGGTGGGGGGTACCTGTAAAAATGCGGACAGGGAGGGAAGCATCAAGCATCTGAGCTTTCACACGCACAAATCTATATATGAATGGGTGTTTGTATATATACTCCGTATATATATACCGAAATGGAAAATGGATTAAGGAACCGTCCGAACAACCGAACCGAGTCAGCGTGTTATCCGAGGATGTCTGCAAGGGAACCAGTTTTTTATTTATGGAATCCCAAATAAAGCGTGGCATATTCCTTCTCTTGAGAAAGTTTCTCCTCCACGGCTCCACTACCAACAAATTAAAACTAAACTTTCATATGAATCATTTTTTTTTTATTAAAATTCTATTTTAATTATGAAAATAAATAAGCTTAAAGATATTTTACTAACTTATTTTGTTGAGGTGACAACTTAGTTGGGTCGTGGCCTTGTGGGTAGGGGTGGGGAAAAATACCGAAATTTCGGTACACCGAACTTACCATATCGAAAAATACCGAATTTACCGAAGTGTTTGGTATACCGACACTTTTGGTACGGTATGATACCTTACCGAATTACTTCGATATGATATCGGTATATATTTTGGAAATAAACAGTATACTGTTATACCGTCGTACCGTAATTCCAAGCCAATAATTTCTTTAAAATTATAAAAATAACTAGGAACACAACATTAATTCAAGGATAATAACTTTATATCAATGTTTCTTGAATTATTTATACTCTTTGTTGGAGATCGATGTTATTTCAAATATATTTATGTTGTTTAAATTATTATTTTAGCATAATGTGTTGATATCTTCATATATCATGTGTTGAAGTATCCGTGCATATTTATAACATTTTTTTGTTCAAAGTTGAATAGAAAACAAATAGGTTATCCGTGGTATTTTATAATTAATTTCATTAATAATTTTAGTATATCACTATTAACACTGATTTTCTATATTTCATTTGATATATAATAATTTGATATTAAATCATGATAATTTACCGATATCGTGGCTTACCGTACTGAAATTTTGGTATACCGAAACTAGGTATACCGAAATTTAGGTATGGTAACGGTATGTATTTTTGCATACCGAAAGTTTACGGTATGGTAAAGGTATGAGATAAAATCTTCGGTATATCGTACCAAACCACTCCTACTTGTGGGCATGTGGCCATTGTGGCGTGTGTATTAAGAGAGGACAAATTCGTCCAATCGTGGGAGAAAAAAGGTGCGCCCAGCATTTCAGATAGGTCCGGGTCTTTGGAACCGGGAACCGAAAAAATGTTTGGAAGCGAACCGATATGAAACGGTTCGGTTCGGTTTCTGTTTTTGGGAGTTAAATACTTACCGGTTCGGTTCCTAATGTAAACTACCTATTCGGTTCTCCGTTTTACATAAAAATATACAGTATTCAAGAAACGGATATAGAACCGTGAGTTCATTCTTAGTGGGTTATTCTTATTCTATTCTGTAGTCCAAAAAATCGAGAAAAGTGTCGGTTTAGTACATCAAATCGTAAGCGGGGGAGTAAAGAGTACATCATTTTGCAAGTGTGTTTGAGAGGTACATGAAATCGCTAAATCATTGTTAATTGAGTCCATCTGTGTATTAGAACATTTAAAACGCCTAGGTGGCAAACGGATTAGTGATAGGGCAAAATAAAATCCACCTCATCAATTAACCTAGAGGCTTTAATTTTTTTCTTCCAATCATCCCAGCTTTGAAATCCCCCCTTTCCCCAATCATTTTCTGAAATTTCTTCAATGTATTGAATCAAATGAGAATCAGCTACCATTTGATAGGTGTGATAAAACAGAAGCTGGTAACATCGTACTCATCGTTTCAGATCTGCTTGGGAGCAAGAAACTGCAACAGTAACTTTCCCTATCACTGATCCGTTTGCCACCTAGGCGTTTTAAATGTTCTAATACACAGATGGACTCAATTAGCAATGATTTAGCGATTTCATGTACCTCTCAAACACACTTGCAAAATGATGTATTCTTTACTCCTCCGCTTACAATTTGATGTACTAAACGGACACTTTTCTCCCAAAAAATCAGAACTAAAAAATATACGCAGTACAACTCCTTTAGTCCGCTTCAGACTTCATCGAGTGCAACAAGGATTTGCCGATTAGGAGGAAGACCCTGGCCACACCGCTCATCTCCTAGTCTGCTCTTCCATTCACTCCTCTGTCAAAGATTTCACGGATTCATCAAAGGAGAGGTCATAGACAGTAGGTACGTTTTTCTTGCTCTTGGTATGTATTTAATTTAAACTTTCGAACCTCCTAGCAAAACCAACGAAGCTTCTGAAGTTTTGAGAATCCGTTTGTGAAGCAAGACTGCCAGTGTGACAGAGTTTTGCAATCTCCTTTCTAGAATATGGAACATCAGAATTAAAGTTGAAGCTTTTAATTTGTTTCGAAAATTGAAGTTTCTGACTTCTGTTTTGGAGGAGTTTAATCTCCTCCATTTTGTTTGTAAATTGGGTTTCCACTACATTTATCATCTTTTTCACACATCCTAAGCTTTCTGGTGATTTTTTTTAATCCTTTCTTGTATTTATTTTCCACTCTTCCATTTTAATTTCTGTATGCATATATACATAAACAATATGAAAAATAAGCTAATTGCATCCATTCTTTGAATAGTATTAGGACTAGATTTGATAATGACAACTAAAGCATACCAAATGTTTGAAAAATATGTCTATAACATACGTATTACCCCATTTTTCATTCTAAAAAACTGTTTTTTTTCAGCTATTAATATGCAACTTCAATTCATCAAGACCAGATTGCAACATCATATGACATAAATATGATGTTAATTTTGAAATTATGGACTGAATTAATGTACTTCTTTTTTGAAAGGATAATTGTACTTTTTTTTAAGCTCAGTTTAGTACTTTTTGAACCATTTAACTTTCATGTTTCAATCAATCCTAACTTTTAACAATCCTGAACTTGTAATTATAAATAAATTTGGGGGTTATTTGAAATGGGGTTATAGTTAGATTGATTGCAGCTTTGTGGAGTATTTTAACTTTTTTTGTGGCGGAAATTGGTGCATTACAGTTTTTTAAGAACTGAAAAATGTCGAGAACCAAACCGTTAACACTTGGTTCGGTTCCATAATGGTTCTAGAATTTTTTGTTGGGAACCGAACCGATATAAAAAATTGTGATTTTACAAACGGTTCCTCCAATTTTGAAGAGGAACCGAACCTAGGCCTATTTCCAGAGGTGCGCGAAGGAGGAGCGTCTTTTTTCGTCGATCCTTCTATCTCTACCGCCACGGCTATCAGATTTCTGACGGCTGATCCCTCCATTTATGTACGGCTTTCACCCTCTCCGGTTTGGATAGTCGCTCGTTTATTCCCTCTCGTTTGAGGATCTCATTTTTTTGTAGGTGTCTCTAAACAAGCATCTTCAGGTAACCATAGACCATCTCCAACCGGCTAATAATATTTGGTAACATGTCAAGTAATCTTTTTTGTATTCAATTTAACAAAAAAGATCAAGGTTTGATGAACCTGCAAACATATCTTTCCTAACATGTCTGGATTTTAGCTATAGGTAAGTGCTCTGTTGAAGACGTTTGTGTGTGTGTGTGTTGAAGACTTGATATCATTGCAGTTTTTGAAAAATGTGTTTTTTACCCTAGTAATTTAAACAAAATGTGAAAAGTGGTCCTGGGCCTAGGTTGCCCCTTAGCTACGTCCCTGAGTCTATGTACATGTACGTATTAGGATTGCTTTCTTTCGCATTTTAGAATTTATTTTGTGGTTTCTATAAAAATAGTAACTTGACCACTAAAAGATGTTCTGTACTATGACGTGCTATCATTTTGCATGTGCATTTTTTGAAAAATGTATCTCATGAATGTTTGTATGGTTTTATATTGGCGATGGGTGTTTTAGGGCTAAAATTCTTGAGAAAATGCATGTATTATGCATGTTACTTAATGTTGTCTTCATGTTCTTCACTTAGCAACGACTATATTGTACATTGTTAAAAAGTTATTCAGTAATGTGTAACAACTGTTGTGTACCACATAAATAATAGAAACATGATCTCATTCAATTTACCCCAGATATTCATATCAGACTACTCCTAACTACATATTTACAACTTAACTAAACATTTGTGTTAGTTGGCTATGGAATTCTTAGTTTTGGCTTCCGAAACAGTTTTGCCTTTTTTCATCAAAGTAGGCACACATTCACTGTGAAGTTTTTCCTTGAAATGTACATGGGTCAGTAGTCAATGTTCTGACATTTTCAAAGGCTCATATGTTAAGCATTTGCACATGGAAATGAAGGATTTGGCAAATGCATTGGAAATGTGCTCTGAAAATAAATGAATAAATAAAAGAGCAAAAACAAAGAAAAATATCAGTGTCACCATAAGTCCCACATGGAAATTATTTCTATTGTATGGTGAAGGATGGGGTGTTTCTTTTGTTGGCTAAAGAAGATGTGAATAGAGCTTTTTAGTATGATATGCGTTTTGAATGATTTACCTCTATTCATTTGTTGTTTGTTATATATTTACCTTAAGGAAAGCAATATATGATATACTTTACAGTTCAAAGGATTATAATTCAATTTTGAAGCTTAACTTACATTAGCACCATGGATTTTCCATTACCGAGATTTAGTCACACTCGTATTGCTATATGCAGGACATGCGTATGAATGGGTCAGGCCTACTCTTAGTGACCGGCTTATTTATGGGGCGTTTAGTTCATTAATATGGTTGAACAACATCTCTATATTTGCCAGCAACACAACAACAGTGTTACTAAAGAAATGGAATAGACTGACATTTTTTTTAAATCACAGGGGCTAACGTGCAAAATTTGTATATCACAAGGGGCTTTGGTGTATTAAACCCAAATTATGTTGAAACGACCTCTATATATTGCATATGAATAGGTGATTCACATGAGTCTCATTTGCAGGTGGTTTGACTTGTAAAGTTGTGAACGGAAACTGTTAGTAGAAGTTTAACTCATGTCTCATTGTGTAAATGCAGTCAAAGTAAAGAAACTTTTCCCAACATTTATGGAATTTCCCGTTGAGAACTATTATATGCCATGTGCTTCACATGATTTACTTTGGAAGCGGACAATTTGAGGCAGCTGGTCCCCTTTTTATTTTACAGATAAAGATGATTTCCTTGTTTGGAGGTGAGCCTATGTTTTTCTTAATTTAATTTTAGGATAACCTTGTTTGTGAAGTATTTTGTAACAAGAACCTGGGTTTAAAGAGAACATGTGTACCTCATATAACCTCCCTAAACCTCTACTCTGATAATCCAGTTCTGGAGGCTAAGTTCTCTTCATAAATATTACTTTCTCTGTCCTTTAAAACATGGCCAATTTAACTTTTCTCGGTCAATGATAATAAACTTTGGTAACTTTAACTTTATACTTTATGAAAGTATTTTGAACAAAAACATTTCCATAAAATTTCATAATTTAAATGATTTTGTATTAAAAAAATATAATTGATCAAGATTGACCATCATTGATCAAGAAAAGTCAATATGACCAAGTTTTTTTGGGACGGAGAGAGTACTACATTCAACTTGGTTAACCTAATAATTATCCAAACAACAATTTTATATATCTATGCACTTGAGGTCACCCAAATTCACCCAATTTTTACTAAATTGAGGTTCAACGAAATTGATCAGGTCTACGTAAGCTCACCTTATCCCAACAGATCATAAGCCTCCAGCCAAGGCTTCATTGTGGAACTTCCTCACTGTGGTGCTCCGTTCTACCCCTCACTCCTTTTCCTTTTCCCTATAGGTAAGTCAAATTTTATTGCGTGAATTCTGAAAGGCTAAGGAAATGGAAATAGTATGCCATGAAGAATAAACTTATTAACCTATTGTGTTTACTTTTACAAAAGTAATTTTTTCACTAAAAGTTGAATTTGGGAAATTGACCCTTGATTTTTCAATTGTGAGCTACAGTTTACTGTTCCGTAATGTGAATCGTGTATACCTTTTTGAATACTTGTTTACACATTTTAGAACGTTTCATTGAGAAGACCAACTTATGTATATATGCATATATCATTTGCCAATTTATATATAAGCATAAAGAAAACGGAGAAAGCGCAAATTGGACACAAAGTTTATACACAAATCTCATATAAGTCATCAAGGTTTCAAGCTAATCAAATAAACACGAATCAAACGTTTTTTGGTCAGTTTTAAAGTTTCTTTCTCCCGTCAATGAAATTATTAGTTTAGTTTTTCCTTTCTTCTTCAATACCCAAAAACAAATTTAGTTGGTGTATTTAATTTTATAATTCCATAAATTTTAATATACCAAAATGGTCTTATGAAATGACAATTAATGAAATATTCTAAATTACATTCATTGAAATAAAGTATCCATAATATATTCAAAAGCCCCCTATATATAAGTTTCTTTTTTTATAAAAGAAGTGCGGAGTAAAGAATTAAATTGCTTGCCATTTGCAGGAGAAGAGTTTTTTTTAGTGGCTGTCCAAAACGGACTGAATTACGTTAGATTTGTGCTTAATTGGTTCACTTGAAACCTTAGTCACTTATTTGATATTCTCCCATAACCATAGTGTCGAATATAGTATGGCCCTTGTCCCAAAAGAAAATGTACCAATAGAAAGAAGGCTAATTTTTGTTTATGTTTATTTGGATAGTTATTCGTTGGCGGGGAACCTTTGTAATGTCTTGCAAAGTGATGTGAAAGATGTAGCCTCAGCAAGAATCATTGGTGAAGTGATGGAGCTGGTGTCCGATCTAAAGAGGAAGAATGTTATGCCAAGGATGGTAGAGCAGGAGGATTCGTGGAAGAAAATTATGGCGTTCTTGAATGCAATTCCCAATCCGTTACTACCGGTGCTGGAAACAATTAATGATAGAGTTGCTGTATCTAATTTGATTGATATTAAATGTTTTTATGCTGATATGGTGATGCGACAATTCGAAGAGATTTCACTTTTGCAGTTGGAGGAATACGAGAAGGACTTGGACGAATGGTTGAATGGAGAGGAAGAGGAGGAACGTGAACTGGGTTGGGGAGAGGAAGGGGAATGGAATATTCCTGCTGCATATCTGTTCCAGGAGTTTGAGGCGCATGAAGGGTGCAACTGTCCAGCCCACAACCCTCGTGCTAGACCCCAAGTCCCATTTTCGATGCTGAGACAATTGAAAGACATGAACCCTATGTTAGAAGTGTTCAGCATTCATATAGAAGGTGATTGCAGGGCTGCACACCAGCAGCAGCTGCAAGGCCGTCGTGCACCATTCAGCAAAAATATTTGTGGTTTCGTTGAAATTAATGGGACGGCCCTTCCACAAACACACAAGTTGTTTGAGGTGAAGTTTGATGATAAGAATCATGATAATGAAGAAGACAACATAATTTCTTCTTCTTCCCAGTCTCCTCCTCCGACCTGTGTTGCTACTGCTGATGGAGGATTGTCACTTTTGCTTACTATCCCGCCTGAAGGTCTGGCAGTTGAGTATGGGATTGAAGACATCAATTTTGACATATGCCTTGTGGATAGAGAAAGCGGGAGGTCTGTCCTGGACCCAGATGGTGATTTCGAAGGCTCTGCAGCTGCTGCTGCTGCTAAGTTAAATAACGATGGAACAAATGAAATAAAATCAGCTGAGGATGTGCTCAATGATTACCGCCGTACGAGCACCTCAAGATATCAGTATAATGGGAGAGACTTTCCGGTTTCCTCCATTTATTTTGCGTCTTGTTTCGATTCTACATTTCGTCGAACAAGGGTTTTAGTGTTGCCTGACAATCACAAAGAGGAGGAAGATGGGGCTTCAGCGCCTCACTTCATAAAGACTCCTGTGACCATTAACTGGAGCGTCTGCAAGCATCCTCTGTGGGCTACCATCAATGTGCAGATCCTTCAATACCACACAGGTGGGAATGGTTTCTTCAAGCTTTGCAGGTTTTTAACATCTCCTGGGGGAGTTCAGTCCCCCCCACACATTGTGCTTTTCCATCAGGATGGTGCTGATAATGGCATAGAGTTCCCCCTCGATGATCAACTACAGTCAGTGCATACGGCGGCCACCACCACCATTCCTCTGCTGAGGCCAGGTGTTGTTGTGCCTTTCCTCTATTCGCTCAGGCTTAAGATGGATCTATTCCTTACCTTATGTAGTAGTAGCGATAGCGGTTTACAATTACCCCACAACAAGTATGGTAGCTCTGAACCTGCTACTGTGGTCGAGATTGATGATGAAGTGAGGTTCAATGCCATCCCTGGGAGACCAAAGTGGAAGAAACTTCCAATGAATGGCGCTGCTGGAGGAGCAGAAATCAAAGTGCAAGTCAAGTTTATTTATCATCATGACCAGAAGATGAACAAGTTCTCAAAACCTGTGGCATATGCTTACTATTAATTTATGTTCTTATTATTTATTAATATTGTTAGCAGTTCAGTTATTTACCTTGATGTCCTTTGGCGCAGTGAGGTGTGTATTTTGTATTGAACTTGGAACCTTTGGTACTTTTTTCACTTCTGGTATTTAGTTAAATGAATATTATTCTATAAGTTTTTCATAATTATTGTACTTCTGCCACAAGCTAGTTACATTGGACATTAATGATGCGGTTGGAAGCTAGATGATCACAATAATATTGCACTAGAGATGACTCAACTGAATGCTTGATCTTTTTGGGTTGCTCTGCGTGGGGAAAACCACCATGCCGAACAAGTGATCTGTTTTCTCTTGCTTTTTCGATGTGAAGATAACAATATTGGTCAACTTGGTCAGTTGGTCTAGTGGAAAATGTTTTATGACCTCTCCTGTTTGTATAATTCTATGACTCTTCGGAGTAACTTTTTAAATATTATTTTCAGCATTGATTAATTTGAAGTTTCATTTTGGTTCTAATCAGGGGTGGAGTAAAGGTAAAGGAGCCGTTTTTTATCGTAACATGCCAGATTTGCGTGTTGTGATTTATTTTCTGTTTATGAAGTCTCTTCCCGTGTAGCACACTGAAATATGGCGGCTTATGAGTTTTGTGTTATGTTTCTAGGTTTAGTTCCAAGTTTCCAAATGTTTTAATGTTGCTTCTTAATTTATTTCTTTGAGATTTAAATATGATTATTATATGCAATTTATTTTACCGAATCCGCTATGCAATGCTATATTTTATTAGCACTTTTATTATTCTTTGTTTTCCAGGACTTTATAATTATCTCTATATATTTATGATTAGCATAGCAAAAGTGCATTCACATTACACGTTACTATTTATTAACTATACCAAAATATTATACCAATACTAAAAATTTAATATTTACATGAACATTTTTTACTATTCACGTTTTGAAATAGATGAAATATGTGTATGTTATACTATTCACAGGTTTACTTTGCCCACCTTTTACTTATTAATGTATTAGAAATCTATTATTTTCAAAAATAATATTAATTTTTCTCATTTTAAATTTCAAAATCTAAATTTTCAAATTTTTACAAAAAAATGAAATATATCAATGGTCAAAAATAGGCATCGATAAATTTAATAATGAAAATGTCGCAATAAATAAGAGCTGAGGAAGTACAATCTATACATAAATTTGACAATACACTTTCTTGCTCATAAATCTGATACTAAATTTGTTATTGTTAATTTTTTAAAATTTTTATTTAAGTCGTTTATAGCCAAGTTATGTTGTTGATGGCTACTTATGAACTCTAAAATAACTGCTAGTTTTCCACATTCTTAGTGGCATGAATACATCGGCCAGCCATGCATTCACAATTCTCTAATAATTGTATTAACAACATATTAATATGTCAAAGATGCATTGCTCAACCAAATTAGCATATTCACTTTGATCACCTTGAGTCAGAATGAATTCTATGTTCTCTATGATCATGACTTTTATATTATTCATTTGATAAAAGTGAGTCACGATTTTCAAATTATTCACTGCTAAATAGTGCATGTTGCAAATGAAAATGAGCTCTTCTTAAACGTTATCCCTCACTCTTGTTGATCATTAGAGCCTAACTTAGCATCAATGACAACGGTATGGTTTGAATGAAACCTCATTATTTAGGGGTGGGCATTCGTTCGATCAGTCAAATAATCGACTGAAAATCGAATAACCGACCAAACTTTTACACCTTAATAATCGACCGAATTTGTCCGATAACATCGCAATAACCGACTGAAAAATTGTAATTTGGTTTCCGTTAGTAACAGAATAACCAATAATAATTGATCATATAAATTTGTGAAGCTTATGTTTTTCAAAAAAACTGATAGCTTTAATGATATTAGAAAAACAATTGATACCAAAGTGGACGAAAGTATTGGAGGTTTTATCCTACAAAACAAAATCAATGAAATAATTGATCATATATAATGCTTTTGCATCATCGATGAAAAAAATAAGAAATTGATTACATTATCTCATAATAATTTTTTGTACGCTGCTAAAAATATGAGATTTTTAAGTTATGAGGCTTTCATAAAAAATATCACTACGTACTAAAGTAAAACTTATGGATGAAAATGTGACTAAAACTACTATGAGTATAAATGATCACTATAATTTAAAATTGAAGACAATCATGTTCATTAAAGTTACTATAATAGTCACTAAAGTATAAGAAAATAACATTTAATGTATCCACTATTCATTTTGGTCATGTATTTGACATTATTTTTCTAAGTAATTGTGTTTTTTTATGAAGTGAAACATCATAGCATACATGGAGAACATATAAACTTTTATATGGAGTAGATTATACTTTAATTTTCGGTTATCCGATCAATACCGATTAAATAACCGATCATTAACCGGAAAACCGAATAACAGACTTTCTTTAATGTGTGAATGTGTGATAACCTACCGATAAACGATCTTTTTTGACAGGTTCTGGGTTATTCTTCTACTCACAAAGGTTATAAGTTTCTTTCTCTTTCTCACAAAGGTTAAAAGAAAAGTCAATACTACATTCAACTTGATTAACCTAATAATTATCCAAACAACAATTTTATATATCTATGCACTTGAGGTCACCCAAATTCACCCAATTTTTACTAAATTGAGGTTCAACGAAATTGATCAGGTCTACATAAGCGCACCTTATCCCAACAGATCATAAGCCTCCAGCGAAGGCTTCATCGTGGAACTTCCTCACTGTGGTGGTCCATTCTATCCCTCACTCCATTCCCCATAGGTAAGTCAAATTTTACTGCTTGAATTCTGAAAGGCTAAAGAAATGGAGATAGTATGCCATGAAGAATAAATTTATTAACCTATTGTGTTTACTTTTACAAGGTCAAACACATTTAAATTCACAGTAGAATATAGTAAAAGCACAATCAAACACGTTCAAACACGATCAAACAAATTCAAAGCAAGAACAAAAAACATGTAATTAGGTTGGATGAATGGATAATTACCTCAATTTCTTTGTTTAGAGAAAAAAGATTCAACTTTTGAGGATCTTCTACATCAACCTTATCTTGTTGAATTTCTTTACTCTACTTTGAGCCCGAACTCTTCAGAAGATTTTTAGCAGAGCTAATTTCTCCTAATTTTACCAACTTACGCTTACGCTTAGGCTTATCTTCTTCAATCATTGGAATTGTAGGGTTTTTTACCTTCATAATACCCGAAGTGGCACGTTTGCCGTTGAATGAGGAGTGTTTTAGAATGATGAAAGATGGAAGGAGGAGTGCCATTAGTACTAGGTTCGAAGAGGAGTGCAATGGAGAGAGATTGAACCAGTTTGACCTTGTTCTACTTGCTAGGAAGAAGACAAAGTAAAGAGAATTGTGCGGGTGCGGGGGCTGCGTTCGTATCTTTGGACGAAGAGTTCGGAGTATTCAAACCATAGGTTTTAATAAAGGTTATTTTGTAATTTCACAAGTTTCTTTTATTTAAAATAGAAAAGGAGCATTTTGATAATATGAGTTTGAAAAGAGGGTATTCCTATATAAATTCCCTGGGAGGAGGGCATCCATCGGAAGAGAAGAAAAGGTTTGATTTGTGAAGGGTACCCCTAATAATAATAAACCTTATGAGAGCACTTTGATAAAAAAAAGTTCTCTTTTAGGGGCATTTTAAAAATTTGTCCGGGAATAGGGAAGAGGACTTATGTACAATAAACGTAATTTTAATAAAAAGCTGAGCTGGACAAAATTACCAATTTAGGAACCTCCTTATTTATAAAAAGTGTCATAACTTTTTCATTTGTGATCAATTTTTTTTACATAACTTACACCAAATTAAAGAGATCGATATGATTTATCATATGACACCAGTATCACATATGTTAAGTTTTAAAAAAAAATATGATCAAATTTGTTTAAGTCATGAACGACAATTAAATGTGTATTTTACTAAAGTAATAGTTTTGAAGACATTAATTTATAAGAATGAAAAGTTTGAAATTCGAAGTATACAAATTAATTTGAAATAAATTCATTTATTAGGGACACTAATTTATAATTATAATGTCAATTCAATAAGAATTCTTTTAATTAGACTGAATTTTTTTGTCTGATCTGGTCTAATCTGGATTGGTCAAGTATGTCTAAATTTGGACTAACCTAATTTGGTCTAGCAGATGTTTGTCTACGTGTATTATACAACTATCGAAGTTAACTCTGAATTCGGTTTAAGTTTGTCTAGGATTAATATTAGTTCAATTAAAAATATTCTATAATAGTTACATTTTTTAGGCATCCACTTATTATGTCAAAATGATAGTGGAAGGACTACAAATATTAATTTGGTAATACTCATGGAACTAAATTAAATGTTGGAAACTTTGAAGTCAGGGATTAAAAGTGTCTCTCACAGGATTAAAAGTGGAAACTTTAAAGATAATTGCTATTTAGAAATAAAGTTAGACAAAGTTTATGAAGATCTATCTTCTTTTATTTATAAGAGAGAAATACAAGAGGCATGAAGGGACCCGTTTGAAAAAATTTAAATAGATTAGACCAGATCAGATCATACCAGATAAGACAAACAATTCAATCCAATTAAAAATTCCTTATTAACATCATAATTATAAATTAATGTCTCATAATAAATATTTCCTAAATTTATACTTTAGTAAAATATACATTTACCAATCGTTCATTGGTGTCATACGAAAGATTATAACAAATTATTTAATTTGATATATTATGTCTAAAATCAGGAACACAATTAAAAAAGTTATCACATCTTATAAAAATAATAATTGCTTGCCACACGGTTTGAAACTATTGGATAAAAATCAATTTTGCAAATGGTTAACAATTTAACGTTAGTTGTAGGGCTGGCAATATCACCTGCACCTGCGGATATCCGGTCAACCCGAACCAAAAATATGGATGAAAACCCAAAAAAGTATGGATGGAAAATGGATGACAGGTGGATTGAAAGACGGGTTGGATCGGGTGTGGGTGAACACCCATCCAATCCATCACCCGACCCGTCACGCGCTCCATTCACCCACCCGCTAACCCGCATATAAAAATAAATATATATTATATTATATTATATTATATATCATATATATTTAATAATATATACTCCCTCCGTTCTTTAATATAAGTCCTCTTAGGCTTTGACACGGGTTTTAAGAGGAAAATAGTAGGGGTAGTGTAAAAGGCGTAATGAGTAGTGGATAAATGAAAAAGTAGGAAAGAGAAAGGGGTAATGGTAATAAAAGTGGGGGTATAAAGGTATATTTAGAGTAAAAAGTTTCCTTAAATGGAAAGGAGGACAGATAAATAAAAAACGTCCCAAAAAGGAAAGAATGACTTTTATTAAAGAACGGATGGAGTATAATAGTTAATATTAATATATTACGGAGTAATAAATATGTATTTGTTAATGAAGAAGACACAAATCTACGAATCGGTGACATAA